GTGTTAGTAGTAAACATGGTGGTCTTTTGACCACTGTTGGGCGGCTGTTTGTCCAAACGTGGTGATTGCGGTGGCGGTACTGCCACTGGAGAATGTGGCGGCTTCGTCATTATCTTTTCTACATCCACATTCAGTTTCAGCGACGAGCTCGATGTCGATTGTTGCACCGAGGTAACTGGCATGCTAGCGCTAATACTAACATCATCAGCTGAATGTTGCTTGGGTGGCAATGCAATAATCGCTGTACTATTTGTCATTGGATTTTGTGCCGCTGTTGCTACGGAGCTGGCTGAAAAGGTTGGAAGCAGCTCACTTGCTGTCACTCCCGAAGTTGCAACTGCTAGTGTATCGGCAGCTTGCACCTGTGGTGGTGTGGAGCCGGCAATTTCTTCTGGTATCGCTTCACAGCTAACTCTCATATCCTTTGTATATTGTACGCTTTTTTTCTTTTGTTGTTGCAATTGTATTTGTTGCTGCTGTTGCTGACTATGAGCCTCCTCAAGACCTTGAAGGCTCGCAGAATATTTACTAGCTTTTATTTTGGCTGTTTCCCCCGACAGCGGCGCTGGTTTTGCTGCCAAAAAAGTCTGTCTCCAACTGGAACTCATCTCGGGGCTTGAATTTACACGGCGCACAGGATTGCGCGCGCGCGATAATGCATCAGCGAACTGCCTCGTATCATCATCTGCTTCACCATCGCTTACGCTATCGGCTAGTGCCTCCTTTCCGCCAATACGTTTACTTGTTAATGGTTTGGGTATGTCGATAGCAGCGGTACTCAGAGAAGAACCCAAAGCGGGCACAGTGGTTGATGATGAAATCTCTTCTTGACGTTGCAGGGCTCGAACTTTTGTGATGGCGCCCGCAGTTTTTTGTTCATCTGCCATTATGGGAGCGCTTACCATAGGCTGTACTGGACCATCATTATCTGCACTTGTATTGATTGTAGAAGCATTAGAAATACCACCAACAACTGATTTTCCGATTTCTGGTTGTGGTTCTGGCATTAAGGTCGACTGCGCGAAGTCGGGCCCAAACACACCGCCATGAGATGTTGGTAAAAAGAGTGAAACTATATTGCTGAACGGCAAATCATGCCCAAAGCAATCGTTTGCTATAGGATTCTGTATGCGCGTTATCCACGAAATATTGCCTGTGGGTCGACGTATTAATATTTCTGCCCATCCAGTACATGAACGTATACAAAGCTGCTGCTGCACTGACTGCAATTGTGTCGGAGAAGCACTTATACTCGTTGTGGAAAGTGAATGGCCACCCAGCAGTGAAGTAGTGCTGCCAATGACAGCGCCCGCGACTCCCTCTGTAGGTTCTGGATTAGAACCACGACGTGAAAGTGCCTCTAATGATGCGGTCGAACTATTTGATATTTGTCGCTGAGTTAGGGCAATGTTTGAACTAACTGCACCCGAGGTAGATGAAGAAGAAGAAGTGAGATCAGTGCTACCTGCAGACTCATTTCCACTACTATACTGTAGACTGGCTTTAGTATAGCGACGTTCTGTGGCCAATGGAGTGGCTGAAGACTGCGTATTGTTAGTTTCCGGCGATAATGGTGCCGTACTATTCGAATCACTTTTACTTGCTACCAAGCTACTGTTACTGATTGGCTGTTTTCCTATATGAGAACAACGATCGCATAGTCCGTTTCGTATAGGTGCAGTAGGGCAGCCGGAAGTTGTAATTGTTACCAAGTTATGTCCAACTACCCATGTCTGCGACAAGCCGTCTTTTAATAAATATTCCACAGCAGGCAAGCTTTCAAACATTTGAATGACAAAAAAATTTTCTTATTAAACCTACGAAATAATACAACAATTAATTTCAACTTACCGCTTAGGTAAAGCCGAACATGGCGAAAAAGTATGACGGGCCAAGAAATCTATGCAAGTCTCCGCCAATTCTGCATGAAAGCTCTTTAAATTATCGTTGATCGGCGGTCGCATATCAGAACCGTTTCGTACATTTGTATTACGACTACCGCGTTCTGTCAAGCTTGTGCTTCGCTTGCGATTCGATGAATCTTCATTCAAACTATTCAGATCCTGGCGCTGTATGCTGTGCTTAAACTTGTCAATGTCATCGTATAACATGCTAGCGTTTGATTGTATCGACTATAATTCACAAGATTATTGTATTTAATTTAAAAATTAAATTTCACTTGCGTAAACGTACCGATATTATATAGGTGACAAAATTCTTGCGCATATCTAGCTTGCATTTCAGAAACCAGCCAGCAATAACATGGTGTGCCAGTGACACCGTATAGTGGTCATATCTATTCGGTTTGGTGTACGGCAAAGATATGGCAAATACATACATGTATTGACGTGGTATGAAGTTAGTAAAATATTGATTGGGCATTCGGCTCAAAACTAAAAACAGTAAGCCGAGAGCAAAAGAATTATTTCACAATTATAGTACGACATAGTTAATACAGTTACACATTACTTGATAGAAATTCCAGCACAGGTATTGCAACCATAGATGTATCCGACATTTTGCTCATTTGAAGCAATATATCTGCCAATGTGCGCGTCAATGTATCGGGCATTTCAAGTATCATTGTTGTTAACGTATTTATGCAGACATTAGCTGTGCCCGAGAATATGCCGGAACAAAGCGCCAATATTAATGTATTAATTTGGTGTGATGATATGCAATGATGATAAATCACCAATGAAGCGATTGCAGGCAGAAACAATGCATTCACCTCCTCACTAGTCGGTGCATAACTAAGGTGTAGGGCTTTGTTAACGTCTTGAAAAATGCGAAATAATGAAACAGCTAATGCTTCGATGTCATTTCCTTGAATAAGAGCTTTATTACATAACACTTTTGGTAGCTCTTTGATAACTAATTGTAAAACTTCATAATCTAGACGATGATAAATGAAAGTAAGGTATAATATTTATTTTGTTAGTACGTAAAGCATACTTCAATATAACATAAATACACGTATATGCTTTAACTCACCACGCTCTAAATCTAGGCATTTAATAATAGTTTTGCAAGCCCTACGTATCGAAATGGTTGTAAAATGAGACCCTGCTAATAAATCGTGTGATGGTAATTGATGTCGTGAATGTTGGTTTGTCTGTGGCGGTAAACTGGAATCGATACCCAAGTATGCGCTGAACTTTATGGTCTCTCCATTTTCAGGATCTGGATAGCCTATATGATAAGAAGCATTTGCACGTGCACGCAGTAGCCACTTGAAAATCTACAGGAAATAGTTTAAGCTCAACACTTACCCATTTATGATGAAACACAGCATAATTACCTTAAAACGAACAATTCGACCATTTTCGAATACTTTTGGACGTTCATAATGTTGCTCTAAATGACTTATCAATATGTTAAAAATTTTAATGGCATGCGTTGAAGGCAAGCGATGTAATTTAACAGCAAATATTTCAATTAGCCCATGTACTGCCGTAACGACATCTAATATATCCGACTCACACTTAATAATAAAATCACCAGAGTTTGTTTGCTGTTCAAATGGCCGATTAACAAGCTTCTCCAATATATCCAATAGCTCGCCACAGCGTTTGGTGTCACAGTGTCGTGCAAATTCCACCAATGCATTTGCAACAGACACACGAATTTGCAAATCTGTTTCATTAGAAATTTTGGAAAAATTAGGAATGACGACGCGTTCAAGTATTTCTTCTTCATAGCTATAACGGTTTAATTCCATAATGCGCACCAAGGATTGTATTGCTTTTAAGCGCACGTTCGTATTGGGCATTTTATAAAAACGGCAGATAAAATCGTTGAGCACTTGCAGCCATTGCGGTCTTGTAGCGGTTACTTTTGTCGAACGATACTCTATAAGTTTGAGAACAGATGCCTCGGTACGATTTTCTGACACCCGTTCGATCAAGTCGTAGATGCGATTAATATTTGCAAGAATCGGTGTGGTGTCATCATATAAAAGTTGTTCAATGCAATCAATATTTTCATGAAAATTTTTTTGCAAATAGTGTAGCCGATCTCTATTGATGTTGACTTGCTCTAAAAAAATCGTTAATGACACAATTTTATACAAGTTTTTATAAAAATGTATACAGCTATCTATGTAAAAACTATACTAACCGTAATATTCAATATTATCTAGAATTGCGTTCATTGTATCACAAATACAATCCCAAATTATCTCTGATAGTTCCGATTTGTAGTAATTAATAACACGTCTTACACTTAAAATTACTTCGAACGTCACGATTACTTGGCGACTTTCCAATGCCTGCAAAAGCAATAAACATTAATATACAATATAATTTAACATAATTTTTAATTTTAACATAAACTAAGATGTGGAGGGAGTGTGTAACGTGAACTTACATGGAGAAAGCAGGTCAGAACCGTAGATGCATAAAACATTGGGGACACTTGAAAAACTACATTTGAACCAAAAATATTCATGTTTAGATGAAAGACTGCACCACGTAACAGCTGTTGGTCGCCGTAAAGACTGCGATCGTTAAGAATGTTGCACATCATTTTCATAGAGTGATATCCCAGTTGTGTGCCTAATAGGTTTTTCATTATCTAAATTAAAATATTTGTTTTAATATTAAAATAAATAGTGATTCACGAAAATAACTCCAAGTAGTTGTAAGCATACATAAGCAACAACAATAAAAATCGAAAATATTCAGTGTAATTAGCATTAGATATCATTTGAATTGGCCTCGAAAACTCATATGTAGAAATGAGATAATTGCACTATGTTTTCAAGTTAGAATTTGAAAAGTGGCGCGGAGATATTAAAGAGCATACTAAAGCGTAACGCGAAAGCCGAAATATTCAACATAATTATTCACAGATAACTGCACACAAGAATGCTAACACCTGATGTATTCATAGATTTAAATATATATAGATATATGCGTGTGTGCCATGTGCGTAGAGTAATAAGTCATTGTGAAATTGAGCCCAACCTATAACTATGCATGATTGCATTGCTGTTAGACGCACAGAACACAATTCAGTGAACGGAAGTAACTGCTTGTTTTCAGGAAATGAGCTGATAAAATGAGTATTTATTAATAATTAACATTGCACATTCGGAATAAAACCAACAGTAGGCACGTCATGTTGGCTCAGTGAAATATTTTCAACGACTACAAATCTCTACTTGGCATCGTTATAAAAAATAAATACATAAGTCGTTAATTAAATATTGTAATGAAATGTAAGTGAACGAACACAACACTTGCTGTTTATTAAGTTTAAAAATGCTAATAATTTTTTTTTATTATATATGTATACTATACATACATATATATATATTTTTATAGTGTTACAAGCAATCGCATGCCTTTTGGCAATGATAGACCAAATTTGTGCAGCAAATCTTGTTGATCCAGAGAGAATAAATGTTAGTGAGTTATATAAATTAACATTTCCTTTTTGTTTTATAGCCCATATGCATTAGTTCGAAATAATACAAACACAAAGAGCTATTCTTTTATTTTCTAGACCCGCAAAGAATATAATGTTTGCAAAATGAAATCAAACTGGAATGTGGTTGAAAGTAAAGAAGACTGCCATAAATTCTACCTATGCATTAACGGTAACGCAGAGGAATATAACTGTGCCGATAATTATTATTTCGATCCAAAGCAAAAACGTTGTAAAATAGGTGAATGTTCAACTACGGAGGCAATAGATAAATGCACATCCCAAAGCATACGCCGCATCAATGACAACTGTCAAGCCTTTTCCCGTTGTTTGAATGGAAAATATATCATACAAAATTGTACAAGGGAACAATATTTTTCAACGAAATATGCCAGCTGTCAGCCAATAGCTACAAGCGCCGACCACAAATGTAGTTGTCTTCTACCTGCTTATGCCATCATCAGCAATCCAGATGACTGCGAAACATATTATATGTGCACTGATGGTAGAGCAGTACTACAGCAATGCCCATGGGGACAATATTATAGCGCACAAGTCAGTAGCTGTCTTCCAGATTTGAGTGGCATTTGTAAAACTTCGCCTACAGTGAGCTCAACTGATTTGGCGACGGATGAAATGTGTAACAGTTTTGGCAATAATAATGCAGGTTTTCAGCCATATGTGAAAGAATGTGATAAATTCTTTTTATGTATAAATGGACGAATGTTTACTAGACGTTGTCCAAAAGGAACATACTATGATAAAAACAAGCGCTTCTGTCGTTGGGATGTAAATGAGATATGTACTGAACAGTCGAACAAATTGGAAGAGGTTCATTTATTCGAAAATACAGAAAAAGCCGAAATTTTATATATGAAAGCGCCACCAACTCTTCCTACTACAAAGGCAATTACAAAAATTCAACTAGATAATCAAAATTCCACCGTTGTTCCAAATGTGATCAACAACACAGATAATAGTATCAAAAAAGAAGGAGAACAGATTAAAGATACTAAACTAGTTATTGCTTCTGCTCAACCGAACAAATCTGTATATGATAAACTGTCATCAAAATTTATAAATTTTTAACTTCAATATAAATTGAGCATTTTCCTATTACTTTTATTTGAATTAAATTAAATCATAAAAATTAAATCAATATATACAATGACGCAGTTGAATAACATAACTTTATATTCGAAATTCATAAGTTATCTTTAGAGTTAGGTAAGGAAGATTGCAATTGGTATAAGCCACATATTTTAATTTTTGCCAAATATAACAAACAAAAAAAAAGCCGGCTTCGCTCTAACTAATATAACAAGTAAACAACAATCCAAATAATATTCAAAAGGCTTTTCAATTATAAGATAAAACTCACCTTCCACGACGCTTGACAATATGGTGAATAATTAACTGTACGACACAATGTAATAACACATTGCCTTAGAGGTTCGCTTGGAAATATCGTGTAACACATAACCATTTCAAGAATTGTCAAACACTGAATACCAATGTCATCTTCTTCCACTGTACAACTCAAATTACAGGCATTTCTTAAAGGAATGGAAATTATTATATATACAGTTTACCAAAAAGCTAAACATACTAATATATACGTACTGAATAATACCAACCACTATATCCTTATCTAATAGTGAAGCATTGAACTTAATGATATTGCCCAAAATACTTAAGAACTCACGAAGTAAATGAGCCTCAGTTATGGCTGGAATCCATTGTAGCATAAATTTGCCAATCTATCCAAAAGTATTTTAAAACGCCGTTACAAATAAAGTAACATTACTTACCTCTTCTTCGAAATTTTGTATGTCTTTTCCATTATCAGTTAAGGTGTCTAGTAATTCTAACCGATGTTTTAGGTCTTCCCCAACTTCATGGTTTTGTATAACCAGAAAAAAATGCTGTCGCAACAAATTCAAGTTTTTATATTGACTGTGAATAAGTCTTTTATAGAAAGTTAAAGCTGTTTGGCGACATTCTGCTGGTTTATTTGGTATTATCAAGTCCTTGGTAAGATTCCATAACTCCCTAATGGAAGCCTGTAGATAACAATATTATTAACCTATTAAATACTGAATTATTGTAATTATTTACCTCTTCTAATTTCATATTCTGCAATTGCAATTCTGACAACGTTTTGCAACGCTGGGCAGTTGTCTGCTCTGGTCTTAATTCTCGTTCTACTTCGGGACGCAAGGAACGTTCGCAGGCACCACCTAAAAATATTCCCATGCATTAAACAAGCTGTTACTCTGGTTTACAGAAGAGTATAGATGACAAAATTATTACCAGCAATGCCTTTAGGATTCTTCATGAAGAACTTGAATTTTGATTTTGAGATCTCTCTATCCTTCGAGTTCATCTTTATTTTATTTTCTAATCCCAACAATATAAAAAATTTGGTAAATTTTTACGATAAAATGTCAACCGAAAATTAAGTCTTAACATATGTGTGTGTTGCCAAATGCCGTATAAAAACAATAAACTATCACCTGTTTATATTGCAGTGGTATTATTTTTTTCATATAATCATTATATCAACCAGTTGATATTATCTCTGCATAGTACAGTAATTTTTCATTACTTTGGATTTTTATCATTAAAAATATCATTAACTAATATCTGTGAAGTATGAGATTGCCTTGCCTTAGTGGCAACTTTAAAATAAGTCTACACTCTTAATACAACTCTGGGTAAAAACAGCCCAAAACGATTTTAGGAAAGAAAATTAGCGTGAAATTTTTGTTTGCATAAAATATTTAAGATTGTTAGAAAACCCATAAACTAAGTTCGTTAAAAGAACGTTAGTGAGTTTATACAACTGTAGACCAAATATAAATAAGTCTCGAGACCGTTACTTTTTCTCTTTTCACCGCTTTACTTTGCGTTGCATTTAGTGCAAATCAACGGCTGTGTTATTGGTTTTTTTTTGCAATTGGCAAACATCAATTAGCGGAGTACCACATAGTAGCCATCGCAGACTAATCGAAGTAGAAAGGAAAAAGTAACAAATTAAACGAGAAAAGAGTTAATAAATTTTACAGGTACGTTGTAATATATTTTAAACGATTTATATTACCTTTTAATTTTGATACCACATTGGCAATTTCTTAATAAAAGCCGTAGTCCTTGTGCCACATTTTGGAGATGTTAAAATTAAAGTATCCAACAGCAAAATTTTTGGAGCACGTGATCTATATACTTAAAATCAATTTTTATTTTACGCTTCAACAAATAAGAAGGGTGCATTATTATTATGTACTATCAACGGTATTTAAATGCTTTTAACTACACGGCCAACATATATCCCTTGAACTTGTTTGTGCAGACTTATGTACCAATTTTGCATAGTACATTGAAATATCGGCTGGTATAAAATAAGAATTTCACCAATAAAATGATTTAATGAACAGATTGTAGTTTTCAGGGACTTCAAAAAGGTACAAACATTAGTGTATAAATATACCCATGTATTCATATCCTGTTAAAAGGAAAATTTCAATATAATTAGACACATGTGTGTATATGTTACATTAGGTACCTTCTACCCACCTACCTTCATTTCATGTTAAATTTTAATATGCTTTTTCTAAACCGTATAGCTTCATATTTTTTTTTTATATAAAAGCAATTTAAATATATTTAAAGATATGAGCACCGGGGAAGATTCCAGCCTACCGTCAACACCACCAGAAGTCCCTGATGCTCAAGATCAGGTATGATTATTTTGTTATATATGTATGTATGTATATAAAGTATAAATTTTAGAATCATTATGAAGTAAAAGTTAAAGTTGAATGTTAGTATTTCAAAACAAACAATTTTCTATGTTAGGCCAATCCCCGAGAACTAGAGAAAATAGAAGAAGAAAAATTAAAGTCAAAGTATCCATCTGGTTTGCGTGGCCCTGGGGGTCATTCGGCTTTTCTTCAAAAGCGGTTACAGAAAGGTGTACGTATAATTGATATATTGTAGTCAAATAAAACGAAACAAATTATCATGATACAAATTTACAGCAAAAATTCTTCGACTCTGGTGATTACCAAATGGCAAAGCAAAAAGGTGGTGGAGTAAAGCAAGTGTTTGCCAATAAAGTGGCAACTGGTGAAGCAATACCTACTCCGGAAACGGTGCCTGCACGTAAAACATCGATAATACAGCCTTGTACTAAGTTCCCCACGACGAGTTAAAAAATTTTTGGACTAGTAGTATTTATCCTTATAGGAGAAAATATTACTCTATTTTGTCAAAACAAGTATATTCTATTTTAAAACTTACTTATCCATATTACTCACCAGTTTTCTCAAACTTAACTTATGAATAATATCTATTAATTGATTCCTAAATAACATATTTCAATTTAAAAACTACCTTTGTTTAATATTGGTATGAATTATTTAAAATTTATCTTTTAATTTGTAGAATGTTTGGTGTAATACTTTCATTATTTGTGTTGCTGAAAAATATTTAAATAATTTAATCAAGGGGTAGTTTTGAGTTTCAGTTTACAACTAATCATTTATCAAACATTTTTTGTAATGTAATTTATAGGCGTGTTTAAAATTACACCTTAGTAAGATACTTCGTTTCATTTGCTGTAAACTGAAATCTGAAGATACGTAATAAATAATTTTTGAAATAAAATACCGTGTTTTACTAGTCAATGGTAAGCAATGAAAGTTTCCCTGTCTGAACCAGACGATGTAGATTATATTTTACATTCTCTGTCTGAACATTTCCCTGCTAAGAAGTGAAATGTGAATTGGCAGCACTAATAGCATATTTTACATTCTCTGATATCACCATAAGAAAAAGATAAACGTCAATTTGTCAGTTTTCCTTTAGATTGCTTGAACAATTGCTTATATACATTTGCATCTTGTATGATTTATATTATCAATCGAATTAAATATATGAATCATTAAAGTATATAAAATTAATTGCAAATTGTTTATTTAAATAATTATTTTTAAACTAGTCACTTAAATATGCAGGTAAGTATTCAGATCGTGTATACGACCTGAATCAATCCATATATGGTCATGAAACTGTCCTAAAAATAACACATTCCAATTGTCAATTGATCATCATGGGCCAACGAAAAGAATAGTTATTGGATCATGGCATGTCAAAAAATCTGAAGGTAGTTCATAAAACATTTTTCTCTCTAAAGGACCCTAATGAGGATACCGAATGGAATGATGTGCTCCGTGCAAAAGGCATTCTACCGCCGAAGCAAAAAGAAGCTGAAATCACAGAGGAGCAAATCCAAGAGATGGTGGACGATGCTATAAACAGGCGAACCGATTTAAAGAGTGGAGAAAATGGTTGTTTAAAGCAAATTGACGAAATGTCTTTGGATGAGTTAGACGAACTGGAAGATTCTGAAGACGAAGAGATACTGGAACAATACCGCCAGCGACGGATAGCAGAAATGAGGGCATTTTCCGAGAAAGCTAAATTTGGAACAGTGCGGGAGATATCTGGACAAGATTATGTAAGCGAGGTGACAAAGGCGGGAGATGGCATTTGGGTAGTGATCCATCTTTATGCAAATGGTGTACCCCTTTGCTCTCTTATTCATCACCACATGCAACAGTTGGCTGCAAAATTTCCGCAAACGAAATTCTTACGTTCCATAGCAACTACTTGTATACCTAACTTTCCTGAAAAGAACTTGCCGACAATTTTTATTTATAACGAAGGTCAATTAAAGAAACAATATATTGGGCCATTGGAATTACGAGGTGAGAAACTTACGCTCGATGAATTAGAGTTTCTGCTGGGAAAAGCCGGTGCAATTTCTACAGAAATAAAAGAAGATCCAAGACCTCAAATTCGTGATAAAATGTTGTCTGACTTGGAAAGTCAAAATATTGACTTTTATTAATTAAAACAACGCAAATATTTTTGTTTATGTTTTTTTTTTTATTGAAGACAAAAAATTGCTTTCATTGTTAGAACACGATGTAAAAAATATTTATTTCGTCAAATATATGTATGTTTGTTTTTTCGTACGAAATCAAGACACATTTTTTCTTAAAGCAGCGTTTTTCAGAGAACTTTTTGGTTTGATGCGAAAAACAGAGGTGTCGATAATATTATATGGATGTTCAGGGGACGGATGAATTTGACGATCGCGTCGCGGTTCAAAATCCTCCAATAAATGTGGTGCCAGCAACATAAACAATTGCTTTGTAAGAATAAAATAAAAATGTGATATAGAATGTGCGTATTCCAAATAATTATTTGAATACCTCTGTCCACGATGGTAAGCCTATATTGGAGAAGCAAAGCTCCCAGTATGGTAATCCTAAATGTGCAATGGCCATCCGTAAGTATTCGCTAAATGTATCGGAAAGAAATATCCACTTCATGGCATTTAATTCGTATAGGTAGAATTTTGGATTGGTCGAACAATTTGCCTCATAGAGCATACACACTTTGGCAACATCATTGACATTATTAATTTCAAATATTTTTGTCTTTGTTGTTATATTGGGTAGTGGGTTACCCCATCGATCTTTTCTCGATGTTGCCAATATAGGAACGCTGACATTTGCCCCCACACTCCCACTTATATCTGCCCCAACATCATCAGCAACACCCGTTTCGTTGCCTGCAAGCGTCCTTTCGGATGAAGTAGTTGCACTCGAATTGATTAATGGTTCAATGTTGTCACGTAACAAAGTTATTTGGTGAAGATGTGGAATATGAATAAAGCCTACACGGCGCAAATCCTTGGCTGATGAAGGACGATAGTATAAATTTATAATGAAATCAAAGAATAGATTCTTACGTGCATACTGATAGCTCCATTGTAAGAGAAATCCATCTGTGGACAAATAAAACTTTTTCATATCCTCGGGCAAATATATAGTATTTCTTTGTTCCCAATTAACAATCTGAGTTTTTTCACATGGTTTACGATGTTCACAGTTTACGTTACAAACTCGCGGAAGCTTGGCTAATTTGAACATTAAATATGCAAAATAGCATTATAAATATGTATATATGTATGTTTGCACATGAACGATCGCTCCTTTAGACTTACCAAGTGTCCCCATTAATCCTAAGGTTAAATGTTCGTAAAAAATATCTTCAGGTGTAGGCTTCTTTGCCATTTTATGAAAATTATGTTTACATATGTATTAATTTATATTTTTTCAAGTAAAAGTAAAAGCTTACACATAGACGGATGTGAAAATGTCACGTTACCATGATAAACTACTGTCACGATGGAAACGGAAAACTGAAATATTGATTTTGTTTTCATACATAATTAAACATAGATGTACACTAATTATAGTATATGTATGTACATACATGCATAATTCGTACTGTTTGGATCGTTTATTAATTGGAATTATATTACATGTTTTGTTAATTAAATTCAGTTTTTAAACTTCAACCAATTTGTTAACATTTAATTAATTAACTCAATTTATTTACATAAAAACATATGTATGTATATATGTATTTGGAAAAAAACTGCTAAATTAATAAGGGAATAATTCAAAATAGTATGCAGATATTGCGATTTATAATTGCATGTGATTACATACTACATAAGTATATACATTTGTATGTATGTATGTATTTGTATAATGTACCTTGATATTGTAGAAATTATTAAGAATCAATAATCTCAATCTGAATACTATAAATCCCGATCAGGTTTTGATATGAATAGATATTTGATTTATTGCATCAATATGAGGAAAAGATTAAATAAGTATCCTATCATTAAAACCATATATAAGTATTATATATACATTCAGATTTACATAACTTAAGTCAAATATTCGTAATATCTGCAGCCATTATATATTTTTCGTACGATTTGTTGATATTATTTTTTGGCAATTTTCGACTCTTGTGCATCTTCTTCTTCTTCTTCGTGTCAAGAAACCTCCCATACTGTCGACTCAACTGAGCGACGAGGTCGTGACGCTACTTCTACATGTGCATCTAAGCCATCACTAAGACGACTGAAACGTCGCGCCCAACTTCCACGTCCAATAAAGCCACTCGTACCCATAGTAGCACCACTACTACGACTTCCCGCATCTCGAAAAATACTTAATAAGTCCTGATTTTCTCCCTGTTGAGCGCGTTTAATGCCGTGTTGATATTTCGCTTCTTTGGCAAGTAACTGTTCGCGTTGCATTTGTGTCTTCACTTCAGCGGGTATGTCTGGGATTATAAATTGCATAATGCCTGTGATGACGAAAACGACGTGCTTCAAATAAAGATTTAATATATGTATAAATCACGCATATTCATTTCTATGCATACAGGAAAAACAAAAGTTACCTCGAAGACGACAACGAAAGCCAAGCGTGCAGCAAAAACATGCCAGTAATGGGGGCTTAAGCCATATGGTTCGGAATCATGAGGTCCGTTTCTACTTTCCACAATTATAAACAAGATGCGTGTTTAAATATAAGTTGAAACACATTACATTCCAGATTCTGACAACTATACTCACCGGTAACCACGATATTGACATACATCTGGATCCTTTTCGTTGCTCGTAGCTCCCCACTCCTCTTTATAGTCTGATGTATTGAAAGTTGAAAGCGAATGCTCTATATAACCCACCAGCGTATTCGTATTTGAATATACGAACTTATAGACCATACGCGGTATAAAATCACTTGTGTAAGCTATCACAAAAGCATTGGAGACAACTGCTGTATAGGTTATAATGCGCAAGATGCCATACCAAGCACCAATGTCCTCAACACGCTCTGCTAGAGGACGCCGAGCCTGTGTGACCATTTTGTATGCATCCAAACGGATTTCCGCAACGTTGTTTAGTAGCGCGAAAAGAGGTGCCAAGGGGAATGCTGCCACAAACAATGTTACGAAACCATACTGCAGTACTGTGAAAATTATTATGTTTGTCAAAGTGATTTAATTAAGATAAATTAAATTAAATAAATTTAATATTTTATTAAATTATTTTAACGTACTCATTTCTAAATATTCATCAAACAAAGCCAAGCGTCCTGGGTCTTGCATGTGATAGTCTTGTTCCCAAGCCATATGTAGATGTGTTACATCCTTGGTTGCAGCTTTATGTTTGCGCTGACGCCACCAATTATACAATTTTGGAAAGAGATACTCCATAAAATTGTTCCAACACTGTTTTCCTACCATAATAATGGCTAGCTGAATGCAAAGCTCTGATAAACATCCAGCCGGATCGCAAATGTCATTTTTAAGACGAAAAAATTCACTTCGTCTCGCTTGATCATCGCCGGGATAATCAAAAAATCGACCTTTGAAAAAGGCAATATAGATGAGCGATGAGTAGAAATTCATAAACTCAAAAAAGAAGATTTTGAAAGTGTAAGAGTCTTCGTACTCGGTGTGAGTTCGAGGGTTTTCCAAATTTGTCAACCTTATGGCCATACGATGGTAGATCTAGTAGAGTGAGCAATTTACTATACAATATATACTTAAATTGAAGAAATTGTCCAACCACAAATATCTTACCCTTGTCAATATCATAATTACGACTAAATTAATCAATGCAGCTGTAACAGTTGTAAATAATTTTGCATGTTCCTTTACGAAAAATCCACCGCCACCATAAATGACTGAAACCAATGAAATGCGATATATGATGGTGCCCAATACAGCGGACAAAACTACCGAGATCTGCAGAAAGGTAAGCAAATATTTAATTCATTAAGATGTAATTTCTTTAAGTAACTTTACCATAAATAAGACAGCACTACCGGTGATGACGAACCGTATTGCTCGACTCCATGTAGACATATAGGGTTCCTTCTCTCGTGTCACTGGATTCATACGGAATGTGGTGGCATTTGTTTCAAACTCTGGACGATTTTCCTCATCGGATTCAACATTGTGTAAGTCCCATTCCCAGACAATTACAGACTGCTTGCGTTTCCATAACTCCAGAAATGTCGTTGCTATTAATAATGTTGATTATGGAATTACATTTCGCATACATTTATGTACATACATACAAGTAGTTTGTATGTATCTCATAACTTACCCCAAAATGACATAAATATAGCAAAAAATACTGTAGATGGATTGTCGAAGAGGTATGTTAAGCGAGAGAAGAGGCAAGACTCGTACAAATGCTGATAACTGCAGGCCTTATCACACAGCGGACAGAGTGTAATATTACCAGTCCCGAATTCATTACAAATTTCCTTACTTGGAGTATTATCTTCTGAGTCCAGAGACGCAAGCCCATAAAGGAAACACAAAGTGCCCACAACTGCCGGATACACCAACATCTCCGTATAGAAACCCAGCCAACAAAAGTATAGAGCTATCTTATCGCCAAAGTACTTGCGAACTAAACATAAAGGCTGCTTTTTGTACCACTGAGAAGGATGAGCCCACGTCAGGTATAAAATGCGGCGGTCAAATGAGACCCCACTAGAGTGTGGACGATCATAACGACCTTCGTGTAGAGGAAAACAAGCCAAATAGGTGGAGTCATTGAGCAAACGTCGAATCCCAACACGGTCGCTATCATCGAAAGGGGTACGAATAAGCACCTGCATAACCATAAGAGAACGTTGGGCACTCGTATACGCAGTGGCGCGATCTTTAACAATAAATCTGTAATATTATTTATTTTTTCAATTTTCCGTTTTTCGCACTTTGCCGATGTACAAAAATTAATATTCCTTAGAATTACATACATACATATGTTTGTACTTACTGTTCCTCAGCATTACCATTGACAGTAGCAGCTTTGAATGTCGTTTCCCCTTCTAAAACGCTTTGGTCGAGCTGAATTTTTCGAGTTAGCCGATTCCAGAGAGACTTCCAGTAGTGGACATTTCGTGCCACTACATTCTCATCATCCTACGGATGTAAAAATGCGAAAAGAGAATAACTCAATTTTATCATTTAATTTGCAGTTCCTCAAAAATTTGTTGAATTGAAAACGCTTTGAAATTCTTGAAAACCAAGCGTTCTGTAAGCTTGCTTTGTAGCTTTGAATATGGACGCGATTACAATCACGAGACTCGGCGATTTGAAGAGAAGTTACTGCGATGGATATGAATGTAATGGCATACTACGTTGGATGCCTTGACACAAATATTTTGGACCAACAACATTCGTACAATTTTTTGAGGAACTCTATATTTGAACTACAACAAGAGAGCGATAGTTATATACCCAGGATGCTTTTACTGATATTGTAATGAATCGCTTGATCGGCAACTTTATGTTCATGACTTCTGCTAGTCGCGTTTCTAGTCGCCAAGGTAAATGAATTTTTAGAAAATATGTTTTTTCATTAAAGGACTGTGTTTTGTCTTCTAACTCAACTTCCAGTCCTTCTTTAATTAGATTGTCCATAAAACAACGACGATTGTCACGACGACGAGATTCGGCCTCGGTCATTACACCAAAATCTTCCTCTTCCCATGCCAGGACCATATCAACCTTACGGCGTCCATCACGAAACATCAGAGACTCTGGATCAAGACCCTGTAAACGAAATTACTTATACATAGCTACATAAAAAAATGCTTTTTTCTTCAATTTTACCTCTCGATCTTGTTTACTAATGCGACGCATCTCGCGTTCATCACCACTTGCACTGTGACTTTTACTAGTATTTCGACTGTCACAATGGCTACCGCTCAAACTACGGTCGGCTATGGAGCTTTTCGAACTCTTACGTGATACAGGTAATAGTTGCTTGTATCCAAATTGATTTTGTAAAACATTTGAGTTTATTATATCAGACTGATCTGTGTCCTCCCTATAAGATGTGTCCTCAACAAGTGGCGTATTCAAATGTATACCTAGACCACGTCGCATTGCTGTTCCGGGAATATCTTCCACATTCAACACCTTCGGCCCAAATGCTTGTGTGGGACTAGGCTCTGCTGACTCTGTTTCAATATGAGTAGGCAGTGGTACAGCAATGGAGTTTGGCTTGAAATGATCTAGCGCTCGAGAGATTGTCGAGTTGAGCCATTTTTCAGTGTACGTTGCTTTTGGAGCTGGTAGCTGCCGTTCAATCGGTTTGGTTGTGTATGGTATTATAGTTTGGGTGTTTTGCTCTTTTGCTTCGCATACTGTTTGTTCATTTTTTTGTTCCTGTTGCTGTTGATTGTAGGCATTTGCTGCGGCTTCACTTATAAAAAAATTATATAAATTATCAGAGGATTTGGCGAAATGCTTGGTGGGAGCCACTGTATCAAGAATGTTGCTTTCCTGCGCATGAAATATTATACATAACGATATAATAATTATATGTATACAATGTTATTTATGCTTACCAAACCACCGAACAAGCGTCCTGACACAATTCCACTGTCCTGGCTTAAACGTCTAGTACGAATTTTCCCTTCTGTCGGATATGTACGTAAAACTCGATCACTTTTCGCCGGACTGGATGAGATTTGGCGTGGGGCGATACTTTCAGAATATGGGCGAAAGTTGCGTAAAACTGGCACTGATAAGAATCCTGTAGAAGTTTTTATCATACCTTATAATTAATATACGCTTTCAATTCGCATATTTATTAATGTTTATTCCTTACGTGGAAATTCTGGCGGAGCCTCTGTAAAATGTTCACTACTCGCTATAAGATCCTCACGCGAATTTGATTCCGTTATAGGTGCGGTGCTCTCATCATCAACGCTATCGACTCGCATTTGCAAGTGGTGCTTGCTATAATCAACTTGACTATCCAAACTCTTCTCTTTAATGGGCTGCTCAAGTTTTTGTTTCTCAATACGATCAAGACTATATTTATTGTGCGCGGAGTTTTTACTGTTGCTAACATCATAGCTTGATTCATGCATTTTGCTGTGGAATTTAATTACATAATTATGCTTAAAACTGTAAGTATTAGTGTTAAAAGTATTGGGGTATTTGGTCAATACCAAAATTAAATAAACGAAAAAAACATTTATTCGAACAGTTTTACTGTAATTGTTAGACACGCATTAACAGAGTCGGCTAGTTGAGGGCGTTCAGCTATGACGTAACTTGATTCAATACATATTATTGCCATTTACTTGTATGTACACTGTATTAATATTAAATGCACTGTTACTTGGATAAGCATATTTTTAGGCGCGCTTGCGTGTTGGCAATTAGGTCGTCATAGAATTCAAACAGCCGTCATACTGAGTTGTGATAGATCGAGAATACCCCTATTGTAAATATCTTATAATTGTAGTATAAAAATAAACATAGTGTGCATATCTATGCTATAAATATTCAATTTTTTCATTAACGTCAATGTATGTAGAAGTTGCCTATGTGGCTAGTGTGTGAGAGAAGATATACTTGTACTTCACCGAGCTATACATATGTAGCAGTTTGAAAGCTATGATTATTTGTTTACAAATTATTTTATACTCTGTCAGCTTGACCTATTTAGAATACTAGTGTACTCTTTGAATTGTTATGCTATGGTATATGTACACGTGTCATGAAAAATAGAAGTATATTAAATAAACAAGTAAAAAAATATTTGTAATGTCAAAATGCCATCACATACCTGAGTTATGCAATACGGGTAAAGTTCTTTTATAGTAGTACCAATGCAATATTTCAAGTTTTCAAATAATGCATGCAAGTTTAATCAAGTTTTGGAAATCTTGTAAAGCCGTTTTTCATATTAGTAAATAGAAGTTATTTATTTAAAAAAAGGCACTTGTGTTCTTGAATTCGGTCTGCCTACAAGTAAAAGGGTACATATGTATGTACTACAAGCCATAATTTATATACCATACATATATGTATATCTATGTATATATTTGTACGGCAGTAAATGAAATAGTTAGATACTATTTTGCAACTATTATAAACTACAAGCCGAATTAGTCACTCGATTGACTTTTTTCTATACAAGCAACTTTTTTTTTAAGAGTCCTACGAGTTGTCATTTGCCAAGTTTTCATACTGGTTACAACGAAATAAACTGAACAAGCTTTGATCTCTTTGAGAACCAATTTTCGAAAAAATAGATTGATTACTTCGATATAAGCGGATAGAAAGTTCTAGTTGTAAATTGTAATTTTTCGGATATAGTTTAATGCATATTATGTATGATATGATTTTAGGTAAATCAATGTATTGTATGTATGCATATGTATATATATATATATATATGTGCACTTGTATTATATAAAAAACATGTTTAGAAGGAGTTTGGTCAACATAACTGCCCTATGTATATACCTCAATCGTAAGCATGTGAATTTCAAATTAAATAACTGCTACATATTTAATTCACGTATACACATAGATATATACATATATTTTTTGCTGAAACTTTGTTAAGGGTATCTTGCTTTGATCACACAATCCTTGTTTACAACGAGTGATGAGAACATTTTATACACTTGACAACTGTCCACTTTTATGCATTATATAAATTAAATTTCGAACTGATAATAATTGGTGCTGTTTAATGTTTTTATTTCATTTTTTCTCTTTTTTGTAACATAAATTACACATATATTATTTCTTGCATTAATGTTTTGAACTGAAGTAATATTTTCAATACCCTACGGATTTCGATTTCAATCAGTAATAAAAAGTCGGTCAGATTGACGGAAGCATGTGTTTTCTAACACATGTTCTCAATTTCAATCGATTTGTGATCGATTAGCGCTTGGAAGTGTGTTAAGGATTATATTAACAAAAAATGTTTATAGCTATATGACTTTGAATTGCATTTGTTAAACTGAAAAAGGCTTTTATGATTCAGTTATTCCCCAAATCCCGTAATTTGTGTACTGTGCCGTTTGCTAAGCTGCGTTTATAAATTTTTTAACACTCGCAAAGAAAATTTAATATTTTGTGTGTGGGCTTGAGTAATTTAAAGTAATATAAATATATGAACATATATATACATACATGTATGCGCAGGAGTGCAATTACATATGTATTATTATAAATTATGACCACTTGCACTAATTTATGCATTCCCGCTTTCACTAGTTTTATACACACGAGACAATCATTCCGTTAGCATCTGTGTGACGATATATTTACAAACATATATAATATTTATAATTAATCCATATTCATAAGCATGGTTATACGAGTACATTTGATCAGTTTATATGTATTTGAATCAATATTTTATATTAGTTATTTTTTAATGTTTTCTTGTGTCTCACAATGTTAATCTAAAAAAATAATTATCCTTCCCGAGTATCGGCCCAGTCTTTTAAATTATTATTATTAATACAATTTTTTGATATTGTATTTTTATATGTATACTCTCAAGCATTTAAATAAATCACGTATATGGCGCCATTACGCGTTTCCAATTTTTCTGTTAGCCACAACCGTTGCGATTGACAACGCGACGATGAATGTCAGTAATCCGAATGGTCAATACGCATTATTGCATTTCCTGTCTGCTTCACTATGCCTTTGCTGGAATTTATTCAATGTATTAACAATTCATAATTTGCTGTAACTTCCACCTATGTATACATACACATTTATGTAAGTAAACACATACATATACATATGCACACTTATGACGGACTAGACAAAAAAGCATAACGTCAATTTTTACGAAATTGATTTTTTTTCTGTAACTAGACCACTGTCAGTCCCCGTCATCAACGAATGGGTTTGATTTGAATTAAATAGGTGCTTCCTAAAATCCATTACCTTTGGGGACGGTTTAAAATTGGTGGATAGGGCATAATAATTCACATTAACTTTGTATGTATGTACTTGTTTATATTATATATTATTTCGAACTGAGATATGTTAGGATATGAACGACATAATACTATTACCTATATTTATTTGTTACAAATTAAATAAATACAAATATGCCTAAGTAATTGCGTAATTTATCATTTTTAGTGGTGTCGTATTTTTTATAACACATGCATGTCCTGAAGAAAAGCTGCTACAAATGAATCATTAGAATGTAACGTCGGAATATGCACACATATAGGTTGGTTGTGAAGTGTCTGGTTGCACCAATAAAAAGCACTACTAGCTCCAAATTTTGTTTTTCTCAAATTGGTATATCTGTCGTGAGAAGACATGGAAAGTTACAAGTCATTCTGTCAATTAATTCTTTGTTTACAAGGCATTTGAAGTTGACATGTCAGCGTATTTTTTTAATATGGAAAAATTTAATATCGCGTAGTGATTAGATTCTATGTTTTGAAAGGTTTAAAAGCAAAGGAAATTTATGAACAATTGTTAGAAGTGTATTAGGAGTCCTCACCCTTAAAACGGACCGTTGAATTTTGGGCTGTTGAATTTAAACGTGGTCGTACTGGGCTTGAAGACGATTCACGCTAAGGACGACCAAAAACCGCAACCACACCAGAAATCATTGAGCAATTTCATAATATTGTTTGTGAAGATCCAAGTCTGACTAAGCGTGAAATTGCTAATGTCATAGGCATCTCAGACGAACGAGTGTTTCATATTTTACATAGAGAATAACATATGAAAAACCTGTTTGGAAAGTTAGTGCCGCACACGTTAACAATTCAAGAAAAACTGGATCGAAAACAAATTTCTCAGCATAATTTAGAGCGTTTTAAGCAGAAAACCGATTTCTTGCCTCGTTTTATAACTATGTATGAGACTTGGAACTACGACCATGATGATCCTAAATTGAAACAAGAACGTTTACAGTGAACTGAAGCTGGTTGTTCAGCTCCAAAGCAGGTGAAGTCACAACGATCAGCAAAGAAGGTTATGGCATCAGTTTTTTGTGATGCAAAAAGAATTTTACGAAATGTACGGATTGGTTGAGCATTCACCGTATTCACCAGATTTGGCTCCCAGCGACTACTACCTCTTCAGAAACCGGAAACAATTCCTTCGTGGAAAGCGTTTTTCGTCAAATGAAGAAGCTACATACTACAGCCGTAGATAGGTATTTTGCAGAGCTTCTGGAAAGCATTATAGGGCTGGCATAAACTTATTGGAGGATCTTTGGAATAAGTGAAGTTAAGGCAGATTATATTGAATAAAAAAATATATTTCATTCCAGAAGCAATATTTTTTAATTTCGAGCGCAGAAACTTTTCTACCAACCTGTATAGCAATTGAAAGCCTCAATTTTGAATAAAAACCCGTGTGGTACGCTCGATATACGAAAAATATGGCACAAACCATCCCACGCTTTTCTCACAATAATACAAGTCTTTTTCGGGCAATATTTCTGTCAGTTTATATTAAGAATTATTTTTCACTTTTTAGTTTGAAATGCTTTAAAAGCGTGTTATTTTAATACTTTTTAACTATCTTTATTTTTAACTTTTTTTTTTAATTAACACACGTGGTGTGGTGACTTTCTTAAGTAGTTACAAACATACAGCTAATAAAAGCGTTATAAAAAAGAAACAAAGATTAAACACAAATATTCTCTTTCGAATTCGGTTCAATTATTTTAGAAAAATGACTATGTATGTATTTTATTGAAGGTAGTATTTATTGCATTGTTTTAAAAAAGTAATAATAAAGCCATTGAAAATAAAGTTTCAAAGGACAGACTTCGCGCGTAACTGTACATGAGATATTATACATGTACTACCACTAATTATGAGTTTGTTAAGTTAAGTGCTGTCGAAGAAGTTCAACTGGCCGCCTTTTTGTAGTTGAACTTCTACGTCACCAGGCTTATTTATAAAACAAGCTTATTTATAAATAGATTGTAATCAATATAATGAAAACATAATTTGCCTTTAAGAGTTATGGAACTAAAATGAAAGCGTTTCTAATGCGAATTAATTTAAATGTGAAAGTATTGAAACTGTTGAATTGTCGAAACAGTTTTTGTTATGCATATACATATGTATATTACAATAGTATGTGTGGACGTAATAGAAAATTCCTACATAAATATGTACATAGGTAGTAATATACGAAATTCCGTTCATTAAATTTGATCTCACAAGCAGCTGTCGCTATTATATCTACGATCGGTAATGTTCGTCAATATTGGCATGACGTTGACCTGCTATCATATTTATATGAACAAATTAAATTTGGTGTAAGGGACATTAGTTTATATTACATACATATATACAGGTTTTTTTAATTCAAAAATTAGATTTTCATTTTTAAATAACGATGTTGGGCTTAAAAATTATATTTTCATTTTTTTATCCAAGATGTTTGGGACTAAAAATTGAAAATATTACTTTTTGATTTGAATGAAAGCGAAAAAATGTTAATTCTAAAGCAAATTAAATTCTTTTTTTAATTCTTAATTATATGCCTAAGATTGAAATTTACCTTTTTATTTTTCAATCCGGTAGTTTATTTTTATTTTTTATCTGGTATGTGGAATTAAAATTTTTATTTTTTATTTCAAAATAATTTTTTTTTTTTAATTTCAAATGTTTATTCAATATTTTTTAATGTATTATTTGCAACCCTGCATTATATTACGTATCTATGTAGAGCTCCCATCGTCCTTATGTTGGATTTCTTCTAGCGTTCGCTTTGGTGCCACTGCCGACATAGTACAATTTACGATATCCTTCACGCAGCGAGTTATTGACGCGTTGAAATACAGTCCGTCGGCACATTTATGTACAATTGGTGTTCCTTGTACACATTGAAAGTACGAACGGCAATTGTCCAGAGTATATGGATAAAGTATGGAATCGCCGAGACCAAGGCATGACTTTAGACACATGTAATATATATTTTATAATGTGAAGAATGTTGAGTATTTCTGTTTCTATTTGTTTGTGAAACTCCTACTTACCACCGCTGGTGTTTTCATTGTATAAGCTTGGCTCAAAGCTTTGCCGCACTGATTATTCTCATCGGGAAGACAAGACGCCTGAATTTTATCGAAGTATTCGTTTTTATTGCAACTGCCAGGAATTTTCTGCCCATTTATGCACACAAAATACGCTTGACAGTTGTCCTCGTCTCTTACCAACACTCCATGTCGGGCATTACATTCACCAACTCGTTGTCCATTTTCCAGCAAACATGTGCCATCGTTTTGTCTACAAAAACCGAGCAAGCTATCATAGCTCTCACCATTGCGACAACGCTGAGAGACAGGACCGTCGACGTCGTTACAATTTACGTACCGTCGGCAATCACCTTGTTCTGCAATGGAAGATCCCTTTGGCATTTGCAAGCAGAGTTCAGTATAATTTGAGGGCTTGTGTTTGCACTGTAACATGTTCTGTGTTAATTTTAATTGGTGTTCATCTGCACTGACAGCGTCAGCTTCTGTTGCATTGCCAATAGCTTGCTTGTACGATTGACATTGCAGTATCGATGAGTTGAAGTAGTAGTTCGTATAACATCTTTCGTGTCGTAACTTTCCATTAATGCAAACATAAAACTCATTACAGTTGAGGAGATCAGTCATCATGTTCCCATGCTTTCCTTCGCATACGGATGGCTCTGGTGGAACAATCAATAAGTCTGGTTCTGTTTTGATGATATATGGGCAGGAACCATCATCAGGTACACAAAGGTGTTGTTCAGTATTAAAATATGCACCCGACGGGCATTGTTTCTTTAATTCCATTCCAGCTATACACACATAATATTTTGTGCAATCTGTCATGTCAGGCAAGTGATTGCCATCACTTAAGTTTTTACATATGTCTTCCGATTTGATGTTAATAGTTATTTCTGATAAGCTACCTTGCTCACAGTTACTTACAGGATCAAATACACAACGTCCAACAGCAGAGTTGAAGTGATTACCAGCTGGGCACATCGCAGGTATAGGCAAACCACTTACACAAGCAAAATAAATGTTACAATAACGCTCGTGAGATAAACTCTTTCCATGCTGACCATAAGTACATTTACTGTGTGCTTTAAATTCGGCACGGCACTCCCCTCGATCAATGTGACATTCACCCGTTATATTGTGATAATACTCGCCTTCGGCGCAATAATGTAGTTCAGTTCCATTTAAAGTAGAACATTCATAATATGCCTGACAATCGTAAGGATGTGCAACGTGGCCACCGTCAGTGGAATTGGCGCATACACCTTCAAGAGGAATTATACAACTACCGTTATTTGGACGACAGTAACCGAGTGTAGCATCGAAAAACGCTCCGGGAATACATTTTTGCTCTTTGACTGCCACCTCTCCATGGCAAACGAAAAAATGTAAACAGCTCTCCGGGTGTGGTACAGCGCTGCCATTTTCACGACCAAGACAGATAATACTTATGTTATTTTCGAATGTTGGTTGACCTGATTCTAAGCTCATATCAATCATTGCTTTTTGTTCCACAATAAAGGGTTGACATTTATCATGCGATGCATGTGGCACACACGTGCCCAAGTCATTTGAATAGGTGTGACCTTTTAAGCAAATACCCTCTTTCCAAATGCCATCAAGACAATAATAAAATTGTGTACAATTATCAGAAAACGGATGAGCTCTAACCACTCCGGTTCCGCAAACTTTTCGCAACCCATTCTCACCACACTCTCCATGGTTCGGCACACATTGATGCAAAATATTATCAAACATAAAAGAAAATTTGCAACTTTGTTTTTGCCATTCTCCGTGTACACATTTCTCATAGGACGTACAATTGAATGGGAACTCGCGTTGCTCGCCCTCACGGCACGTAATTTGATATCGTTGCAAGCAAACATTTTCTATATCGGGTAAACATACACTTTCGGTAAGGTTGAAATATTGCTGATACGGGCAAATTTTCAATTCCCAAAAACTTCCTTGGCATACATAATAGCGATCGCAAGCCAAAGCAGATGGCCTAAGGGCACCTGGTAAACTACAAGGTTGTCTAGAATATGCCTGTTCTAAATATGCAGCAATTGATGGCATAGAAGCAACAGAACAAAAACCATCCAAGTCGGGCATGCAAAAATTATATATACGGTTATAGTACATACCAAGTGGACAGTAATGATGCCACCATTTACCGTCCAAACACATAAGATACATTGCACAATTATTTTCATAATGACGCACTTCCATGTGGCGACAATCGAATTCCTGTACCGTCATAATGTCAATGTTCAGTTCATTTTCAGCCGGGCAAACATCGTCATGCGAACTTGGGATGCAAGTGTTTAAACGCTTTGAGTAAAAGTGATGTTTCGGACAATTCCTCAAGCGCCATTTACCATGATTACAACGGTAATATTGTGTACAGTTAGCATCCTTACCGTGAACTGTTTGTAGCTCCATTAAAGCACTACAATTTGGAAAACTTGTAACATGACCATAAATGCAGATCATGTCATCGCGACGTTCAATACACGTGTGCCCTTGAGCACTGTAGAATTGTCCATCGGGACAGCTCAGCCAAGTCCAAACACCGTCTATGCATATTTCATATTGCGAACAGTTGGATAGCACGTATCTTTTTTCGTTTTCAATACACCATTTCTAAGGTGAAGAAATATTACATATATACATTTGTTAATACAAATATGGTTTTTTAAGTGCTCCTAATACATGGCTGGCCTCTGAAAAAATTGATTTGCTCTTAGTTTAATATGCAGCAGCACAAAACACATCAAAAAAGCTTCAATTTGTTCAATGCCACAACTTGCTGTTCTTGCATATCCTTTTAGTCAAGAGTGCCACTGCTTTCAATATTCATGTTACTATCTATACATATACACATAATTTTGTTTAATGATCATATTATTTCCTTTCGGTAGTAAATTTGTATATTGTTCATGAATAAAACGGCCAAATTTTAAAATTTCGTTATGTAACAGCACTTTTATTTACATACTGGTGCGATAAATGTACGTATATAGTTAAAAGATCTAATGAATATGAAGCAAGCGGAATTTCTATACTATTATTTAATATAGCTTTATGTATAGGTATTTCATTACAAGTATAATAATTATTCAAGTATATTTGCTTAGATTGTAATATTAAGCAATCATGTTTTTAAAGAGGCAAGCCTTATCGACAACTTTAGAAGTATGGGAATTTTTTATAGTAATTTTTCAAAATCTTCAGAGTTCTTACATTATTTTCCGGAATCGTTTCTGTGCGCATAAGATTTGTATTTTGCTGCCTAACCATTTTGTCCCAAGGCTGACAAGTTAGACTATTTTGGTCGAAGACATTTCCTGCACCACAATCACCCTCCGTAAGCTTTGCATTATAGCATTGGTAGAATAGTTGATTGTTGGTATGATGCGGCACGTATTCTCCCTCGCGATAAGTACCCACGCAGCTCACAGTGGAGATACCTTGCTTAAGTTCCAATATTTTCGAGCCATTCGTACAACTTATAGCACAAATCTCGCGAATCGGGTCAAATAAGGCATTATCTGGACACAAGAAGAATTCAACTTCGGTCGCAGAAAAGCAGTAACAAAATCCATGTGTTTCGTTTTTAGCTGCAATTGCATAAGGGTCTTCTGTTGTCGCGTTAACACATTGAGCTACATCACAATTAATCTGAATAGTTGAAAACCAAATGCAATATACTTGTAATAGGTATTTGAGTAACCCTACTCGACAAATACAGAATACTTATTTCGAAATAACTACTTACATTGTTTGAGGATTCACACTGGCTGGAGTTAGGGTTAAACAGATTTCCGTTAGAGCAAGAAAGCAACTCGGGTATGCCACTCTTACACACGCAATATCCGTATGGGTAATTATTTGCTGGATAAGAAATACCATCATTGCATGAATTAGAACAAAAGTTCTTGTCGCAAGGATCCTAAATAGCGAAAAAAGTAAAAGTCATTCAATCGGTTTTCCTTAGTCATCAAATTCATACCTCTTTACATATTAAGTAGTATGGATCGAAACGTGTTCCACTCAAACAATCGTGTTTAGTTACTGAGCTTGGATCTGAATTTCCACAGATACAAAAAGCATATGGTTCATTTAAAGCTGGAAACGGACTGGCCGGATTCGTCAAGCAAAATTGGCCATCACAACCCACCTATACGACATGTCAAGAGTGATGCAAAATGAAGTAAGTATAATATTTACTAAATAAATTATGTAACAGATCTTACCGCCTGACATATTAACAAAGTCTCATTAAATATCTCAGAATTTGGACAATTCTGCTTAATTGCTAATCCATCGTTAATACAATAGCAGAAGGCATAAGGATCACTGGCAGCACCAAATATCAATCCAGTATTTCCTGAACAAAGTGAACTATTGCAATCATCGTCAATGTCTGATAGGCATACTCCTCTTTCCGCATTGTATTTCTTATCGTTTCCGCACAACTTATATATGCTGCCAGAAATGACGCATTCGCAGAAACCATCTGTATCATTATTCAATGCTGGGAAAGTACTATACTCCGGAGCCGTAAGGCAAAAAGTAGCAGAACATCTTTCCTATATATCAATTAAAATATTTCACCATTAATACAAATAATTGAAAGGCTTTAAATATTATGACGCATTTCACTAACATCAAGCATTTGGCAAGTTTGGGTGACTGCATTGTATGTTTGGTTGTTGGGGCAATCAACAATAACTTGTTGCCTACTGACACATAAACAGAAACTGTGTGAATCGTTACGATTTTGAGAGCGCGTATTTTCAGGGAAAGAATAACATAACTCCGGATCACAAGGTGCATTCTTAAAATGAAAACAAAAATGTTTAGCATGACATTTAGAAAGGGGGGAACTATCAGTTCATCACACTTATTAATTTTTCTTACCGAATAGCATATTCCAAGGTCAGCTCGGAAAGTGTAATTATCTCCACAGTGATGTAGGAATGCTGAATTACCTCGACACATACAGAATGCAGTATTATCAATGTTGGTTAAGGGTGCAAATGCATTCTCTTCTGGCTTAGTGGAATTGCATTCGGATTGATTACATTGTGACTAAACGGCAAACGGGAAATGATTTGAGTACGAAAATAAAAAATGCTCAACATTGCACTCCTGTACTTACGCTGGGCTCTTCCAAGCAAACTCCCACAGCTTCATTGAAAACTTGTCCGGGATTACATTCTCTTATCTGAGCTACGCCACCCATACATAAATAAAATTTGGTATCGTTGCCTACCAGAGGGTATGTGATTCCATCACTTTTACCTACACACAAAGTAGCTTCACAAACAGCATCTGCACGACATTTATTCAGGGTTATATCAAATCCACCTTCGGGGCACGTCTCAACATATGGTTTGCAGTTATTACAAAGAAAATACTTCGAACAATCCGGATTGGGTAATAATGTAATTCCTGTTGTATCTTTACAAGGATTTATGCACGTTGCATTATAGTCAGGCATACAAATCTGTTGAACTGGATTAAACCACTTCTCAGGTGGACAATTATATATCTCTCCTTTACCGTCTTTGCAAAGATAAAATGAAGTACAATTTGTCGAGTCAGGCATATAGGTACCGTCAACTTGACCATTGCACACATTTGGCCTGCAAGTATTATTGACATCAGGCACACATACTCCGAGATTACTGTCAAAATAATTGCCCTCTCCGCACTCCCGTTCTTGAAGCCTACCGTCAGTGCAGATATAATATTTATCGCAATTTTCCGGATAGTTAGGGAATGGTTGCAATTCACCATCTTTATATCCACCAGGGCAAGTGCAATTCGTTTTTGCTGGCGAACAGATATTATCGACATCAGGTACACATACTCCGAGATTACTGTCAAAATAATTGCCCTCTCCGCACTCCCGTTCTTGAAGCCTACCGTCAGTGCAGATATAATATTTATCGTTTTCCGGATAGTTGGGAATGGTTGCAATTCACCATCTTTATATCCACCAGGACAAGTGCAATTCGTTTTTGCTGGCGAACAGATATTATCGACATCAGGTACACATACTCCGAGATTACTGTCAAAATAATTGCCCTCTCCGCACTCCCGTTCTTGAAGCCTACCGTCAGTGCAGATATAATATTTATCGCAATTTTCCGGATAGTTAGGGAATGGTTGCAATTCACCATCTTTATATCCACCAGGACAAGAGCAATTCGTTTTTGCTGGCGAACAGATATTATCGACATCAGGTACACATACTCCGAGATTACTATCAAAATAATTGCCCTCTCCACACTCCCCGTTCTTGAAGCCTACCGTCAGTGCAGATATAATATTTATCGCAATTTTCCGGATAGTTAGGGAATGGTTGCACTTCACCCTCTTTGTATCCACCAGGGCAGCTGCAATCTGCGTCCATAACATTAGTGACGGTATCAGTTATTTTTCATCCTTTTCGGTATTAAGGTTTTATTGTATTATTCTCGTTATTGCTAATACAAACTTGCTGAGTATCGATGTTACATGTTAAAGTATTTAGGTTAAAATAATTACCGAAGCCGCAATCTTCGGATAACATTTCACCACTAATACAAACTTGATATTTCCGACAATTTGAAGAATCCCTATTATCTCCCCTCGGTGTATAGCCCATACACGTGAAGCATCGAAGGTGTCAATCGAAGATCTGTCGACACTTCGCCTATTTCTTCGTCCACCTACGTTATAGTTTTGATCATCACAATTTATTCGAGACATCATTTTCGACATCAGGTTCACAAACACCCAAGGTGCTATTAAAGCGATTCCCTTCGCCGCATTCTTTCTCCTCAAGTGTTCCGTTTGAACATACATAATATTTATCACAATTCTCGGGATAGTTTGGGAACGGTATCATTTCACCTTCCTTATAACCACCAGGACAATCGCAAGTTGCTTCCGTAGCAGGTGTTGTAACTTCGGAACATTCAGTAGTGACAGCTGGCCTACATATATTGTCAATATCGGGTTCACAAACACCCAAGGTGCTATTGAAGCGATTTCCTTCGCCGCATTCTTTCTCCTCAAGTTTTCCGTTTGAACATTCATAATATTTATCACAATTCTCGGGATAGTTTGGGAATGGTATCAGTTCACCTTCCTTATAACCACCAGGACAATCAGAGTTGCTTCCGTAGCAGATGTTGTAACTTCGGAACATTCAGTAGTGACAGCTGGCTACATATATGTCAACATCGGTTCACAAACCAAGGTGCTATTGAACGATTTCCTTCGCCATTCTTTCTCCTCAAGTTTTCCGTTTGAACATTCATAATATTTATCACAATTCTCGGGATAGTTTGGGAACGGTATCAGTTCACCTTCCTTATAACCACCAGGACAATCGCAAGTTGCTTCCGTAGCAGATGTTGTAACTTCGGAACATTCAGTAGTGACAGCTGGCCTACATATATTGTCAACATCGGGTTCACAAACACCCAAGGTGCTATTGAAGCGATTTCCTTCGCCGCATTCTTTCTCCTCAAGTTTTCCGTTTGAACATTCATAATATTTATCACAATTCTCGGGATAGTTTGGAAACGGTATCAGTTCACCTTCCTTATAACCACCAGGACAATCGCAAGTTGCTTCCGTAGCAGATGTTGTAACTTCGGAACTTCAGTAGTGACAGCTGGCCTACATATATTGTCAACATCGGGTTCACAAACACCCAGGTGCTATTGAGCGATTTCCTTCGCCATTCTTTCTCCTCAAGTTTTCCGTTTGAACATTCATAATATTTATCACAATTCTCGGGATAGTTTGGGAACGGTATCAGTTCACCTTCTTTATAACCACCAGGACAATCGCAAGTTGCTTCTGTAGTAGGTGTTGTAACTTCAGTACATTCTGTTGATGGTGTGGATTCAGTACTTTCACTAATGCATTCAGTCGTCGATGTTGTTGTCTCAGTGATGGGACAATCGGTCGTAACTGGCAAACACTCGCCAGGTAAGCAACTATTTTTAGTCGAATTGAAATAGCTGCCATCTGGACAATATTGCTGAATTGGTTTTGCTGCAACACAGACATAATAAGTGTGACAATCGTTTACATCTTGCACAAATTCTCCATCTTGTTTGCCTACGCATAAGTTCTCCCAACAAAACCGTCCATCTGGATCAGGCAGACAGATCCTTATGGAACTATTAAAATAACTGCCACTACCGCATTCTTGTTCGATTGTTTCGCCAGCAGCACACACATAAAATGATGAACAGGAAGATTCATTGGGCAAATAGGTACCATTTCTTTCACTAATACACTTATTTTGCCAACATTCAGTGTCAGTATCTGGTATGCATGTTCTAGTCGTAGAATTAAAACGACTTCCTGGGTCGCAAACTTGAGGATAAGCCTGATTTTGATTGCAAATATAGAAATTACGACAGTATCCAGGTTGATCAAGATAAACACCAGAGGTTTCATTAGCACATAGATTGTCAATCTAAAAATTTATTTGAAAGTGCGGTTTTAGAACAGTCTAATTCTATTGTAGTTGTATTTAAAAACAGAAATTTTGCAAAACTTACCCCAGCTAAAGGCACGGCTAATGTCAATTTGCAAAGACCCTCGATGAAATTTGAGCATTTTCCTATCTTCGAATTATATACTTTGCCTTCGGCGCAAACTATTGCTCGTTTTACACTCTTATTCGTACAACGATAGTAGCGAGTGCAATCGGTAGGATCTGGCCAGTGAGATGCCAATTTACGAGTCTTACGGTACTTACACTCTGCATCAGCTGCGTAACAAAGTGCAGCTGTGGTCAACAAAACCACAGCGGTCAGAGTAACTACGAAATTAAGAATTGTTTATTTATTATTAATATTGTATTAAAACATGTGAATATTCATATTAACAAATTGTAGTTAACTTTAAGAACAGTAGTTTGGCTTACCATTCATTCTATGTGTAGTTGTTGAAATTTGAGCTACAATTTTTTTTTAAATGTCCTCTCACTAATTTTTAAAAGTACTTATAACAATAGATCTGAGCCAATTGCTCAAATAAGACTCTGTCGTCGTTTTATTAAATTTTAGATCATTTTATACCTAAATTTCGTTTATGAATTGACACTTCAATACAATTTATTTACAACTTGTTACTACAGTAATTTTACTTGTTTAAAATGTTATCAAATTCTAGATCATGTTCGTACAAATGTTTCTTAATTGATTTTCAAGTTCTTCGCATTGTTAAGCGAAATAAACAGAGCATAAGTTTGAATACAAACGTAATCGGCCGCACCTTTGTACGTTATTGATGTTTTTACTTCAATGCTATTGATTGTATCGATAGCGGTATCATGATGTGGTTATGAATGAATTATACTCATGCTCGTTTGCTATTGACATTGACTTAAACTAGATGTAATATTAGACTGAAAGACAAAAATAGTGCTGTGTGATAATCGAAGGCGATCCTGCAAAACATACGACAAATCCTTGATGAGTAAATGATTAAAAGTATATGCGACTAATTGCACCTCTGATCTTTCTTTCATGGAAAATACCGTATTGTTCGAGCTTGTTTAATGATTTTATGAAGATTGATTGAGGACGTTTGTACCTTTTTTAATCGAAAGTCTATAAAAAAGGTCTAAGTATGGAGGACATAAAACATACATGTACACTCGTACCACGCTTAACGGCCTAGATACGTTCAACGAAACTCGGCCGTAAAGCCAAAAGTGGTATAAGGCATCAAATATTTTAATACAAATTCATACAAATTCAATCATATCGGTTTCAAAATTGTTAAATATGTAACTTGGCTTATCATTCAAAATGCATTTTTATCTTTTTATTTCATTTAAATCAAAAATAATGTTATGTATGTACATTTATACATAAAATAATATCGGACTCTAAAATCCATCAACAATCTATAAACAAAAGTGTAAAAACTGCATGTTAGATATAGTAAAATAAATTAAAAGCAATAAGAAACGACGAAAAGCCTGTTCAATGAAAGGATAAGAAGAAATTCTCAAAATAGAAGGTTACAGAGTTCTAACTGCATAGGTTTACTGTCGCGCTCACATCGATAAAAAGTGTTTGGCCGTAGTACCGAAATATTTTGGGCCTTCTATCTAAAATGTGTCTTTAATTAAAAAGGCCGTTATAGCAAAATGCCCTATAACGAGCGGCGGTATAGCGAGGCATGAGTGTATATAATTTTTTATATATTTATAGCGCAAAGTCAATTAAGCAAACATTTGCTTCTACCTTTACTATACAGATTACAAATACGTTCTAAGGCTTAAAGTTGTTTTTTTTTTAATATTAATACAATAAATAATATATAATATAAATTCGGAATATAACACCACGATGCACCAAGCTGTAGTTGCGCGTAAGCAATGCATTTAATATGTCGATTAAAAACATGCTTTTCTATAAAATCTGAAAGTTCTCAGATATTTGCGAAACAACTGATAAAAGTCAGGTTTGAGAAGAGACATTTTTTTTAAATTCTAGATAAAATTGCTGAACGAGATAACTAGCTTTCAATTGTATTTTATAACCAAAGATATTATAATGCATAATTTTAGGCGATGAATAGAGAAAAACGCTTTTGGATCCGATTTTATGCCCGACAACAATATTTCACAAAGGTATTATAACTTTGTTCACTTAAGAGGCATTTGTCTTTATTCATTATGCGTTTCATACTGGCAGAAAATTATACTGAATCGAGTACGGAAAGCTGGTTTTCCAAATAACCGCTATATATTTTCGTGAGCTTTCGTTTTGGCATTTATGTTCATGTGCCGGTATCAGCCAAAAGATTTGACGTCGGCATCGATTCTTATGGCTGATTCACATAGAGCGTTTGCTTCGCTTTGCGTCAGATATTTGTTTTGATAGAAAAGTTCGTTGTATGCTTTTGTATGAGTACGTTCACATCGAAGAGAAACGCAGCAAGGCGAAGCAAAATGTTGGACAACTATCAACTTTTTACGCTTTGCCATGCAACAGTCGCCAATTTTGTTAGAGAGAAACACTGAAAGTAAGGCGTCCATTATGGCATACCCTTTGCTTTCTTCGCTTCGCTGTTAAAGTATAAATTCATGCAAAGCGAGGAAAGTAGTGTATGAATGATCCATTAGACGATTCTCTTTAATTTTACCGTTTCATTTTTTTGCCTTTTTATTCTTTTAAAACTTAAGTTATGATTAAAGTTTAATAATTACAATTTCACAGTTACTTGTTTCTACGGCAATTGGTGCTCGCTTTAAACACAAGTATTTTTCAACTGAGAAAATTATTAGGTGTGAGACTATATTAAAAGAACCATTAGGTTTATTGGATAATAAAATATGCATCGGTATTGGCCAAAAATTGGGCATCAGTCGAACACTAATAATATTCGGTTATGCTCGATTCCTTTCTGATTAACTACTTATAAAGCGTAGGGTTTTGTTCAAAATATTTCAAAGGAAATACATAATTAAATGAATAGTTTATCACATTGAAAATTATCTAACTGAAATTTTGTATTCACATCACTGTCTACAAAATAATAAACGTTTGGCGACTTTATTATTATTTTAACAAAGTGTACGAGTATGACCTGTCAATGTCAAATAACGTTCAAACCTAAATGCTTCCGATTTAAAGCTCTGAAATTCCTATATATATTTCAAATATCGGATTCGTCTGTAATAGCTATGGCAAATAGACGATTTCTGCTCTTTGCAAAAACTTCTTAGAATACAATAAAGGTAAATACTGGTGGAAAGCAACCACATTATTTATATGCTTCAAGGTTATCCTCATCGATTATCAGTTACACATATTTCACAATGCATTCCCTACATTGGTTAAACAAAGCTCAAGTATGTGTTTATATAGCCTAAGAAATATTAACGAACCCTTCCATGTAAAATTCCAGGCACATTTATATAAATGCCGCAGATTGTGAGATAATCAATAGTAGCACTTGGGACGACACCAACGAACATTAAGGCAATTGGCAAATTGATTAAATTACAGTAAAGAAAATATTATTTTATACAGTGTTCCAATTAAGCATGCTGCTATTGACATTTTTTGGGCTATGGATCGGATTAACTGTTGCTCTCAATGAAATGGTAACTACATATGTATATACTTATAATTACTAAATACGTTCCTATTTATATTTGAATGTGATCGAAATAAGTAAAATAAATTTAGATGATGTCAAGTAAAGTGCTTAGTTACGCTACTCATTTTATGGGATATACTAGTTGAACAGGTTTAGTTCAAAATTTATCTAATAACTTTGTATTTTAGGTTGAACAACCGATAAAACATCCTGATTGCCCATTGATTGACGATCCAATGCATCCTGTACAATTGCCACACCCCAACGACTGCAGAAAGTACTATACTTGCAAAAATAGATATGCTTACGCAATGTTATGCGAGAATGGGCTTCAATGGAATATGCTGACATATCGCTGTGATTTTCCCTCAGCTACAAAATGTTCCACTCGCATACCTGATTCGATATACCCAACAAATCCAACTGAAAGCAGCGCATATCCCACATTGGAAAAAATCTTTTTCACAATAGATTCTACAGACTGCAACAAGTTCTATAAGTGCATCCCAATGCGTTGTCCTTCTTTTATGTATTGGAATTCTTTACTAGAGCGCTGCGATTTACCGCAAAATGGGGACTGCAAAAATACGCCACAGATTTGGACACTGCCTCCATACATTGATAATTCAATAGCAACTGCGGCAACACCTCCAACAGCATCACAAGGGGATCGAGGCCCACCTTCATATTATCCGGAATACGACACGGATACCAACAATTTCTTTCATTTATGCAATACCCCCGGAGTTGATTACGTGAGACATCCTTTTGACTGTCATAAATTTATACAATGCGATGGCTTTGCAACGGTACAAACCTGTGGGAACGGTCTTTTCTGGAACTCTGAAGTTATGGCCTGTGATCGTTACTGCAAATAAGATTATTCGTAAGAAAAAAGCAAAAATTACAATAAATTTATCCCTTACATATTACAACATGTCAGATACGCTCATACAGATGTATGTAAAGTAATCATTAATAATCACCTAAATATGTTTGAGCTTCTGCATTTTTTTCTATAAATGATATATAATAGTAATATATTAATAATTATTCTTCTTCATCTTTATCTATTTATGTACAATATATGTAACATGAACTGAGTCCTTGATATTTTGGGTAATAACACTTTTATTTAATTGTTCCCGACTTGCACAACATCATATCAAAAGGGAAAATTATATAAGTAATCATGATCAATTTTACCCTATAGATGTTGATCCAGGTTCAATCTTCATGTATATGTATGTATATAATTGAGAATGATCAGTGTGTATGTTAGGGTGTTTATTGGCGCCATATATAAAGCGTAAGTACAACGAGGCAATAGCACGATTCATGATCCTTACATGCTACCGCTGATATACCTAATACCTCTTTTGGTCACGCTGAAGCATTCACACATAGGACTATAAAATGAATCATCAGGTTACAAAACATTTGGTTCATTTAACATGGTGTTGCCCAAGTACAGAACCAAATACTTCTTCTTTGAATTACATGAAAGTACTAAATTGACTGATGTGGTTATGTGATTTTTATGCACATATGCCGAATATATAAATCGAAAGTATTTATAGTTTCTGTGTAATTAAACGCTTAAGAATTTTATTTAAAGAATTAAAATTCGAACATCATCTGCGCCTACATTCCATACAACGCCGATTTCAATTCAATAAGTTCATCTGCCAATACGTGATACAAGTAAACACGAAATATTAGTAAGGAGTTCTGAGTATATTCATATTTTGCGTTTTCGTCCCATATTAAAAGCACGTAACCAATATCAGCAAAAAGTAATCATTCGCAAATATGTAGTTTTTGGTTGTAAATTTATCGCTACTATCAGAATATTTATGAACACTACCTGATTGCTTTAAATTACTTAGTATGTACATACAAATATACTCTTGCATATAGTCATTTGAAAACAATTTTTCTGTGTGTGCATGTAATAAAAATATTATATGATGCTGTTTGGCCGAGCTTTTCTTTTTACCTCAAATGTACGTTTTGATGTTATTCTTAAAACGAAGGAACTATACCATTTGTGTCTATGTCAACGAATCTGTTAGTTTACTTCTAACAGAGTATTTACGGAACTGTAGTCAGAACTTTGACTTGGTATTTTCATAATTTTCGAAATTCCAAGTGGGATACGAACTAACGATCGACCAGATGTTAGCACGCGCTCAACCTCATATGAGTACGACGTAACTACAAGTATTTATAATTAATGCTACGTATTTTTTCTTATGGGGAGTATTAGAACTTGTTGCTATATTCCCAGCATATTTTTTGCTAAATTTTATGAACAACACAGTTAAGGAAGGTCTAACCAAACAACTTGCAACTTGCAAGAATCAAAAACGAGGAAATACCTCCAGGTGTTGGCAAAACTTCATATAAACACAGTAAGATAGTTTAAGTTCGGGTGTAACCGAACATTTTATACTCTCGCAAGGTAAAGTGATATAAGAAATTTTCGTATTTTTTTTTAAATAGGAAGTGTCTATCCATTATTTAAATTATAGGTAAGAAGATACACTATTATAAGAAAAAGATTCTTTCGGAATTTCATTAAAATTTATTACATACAAGTATTGACCGATAGATGCGGTATAAAGTTTATCGGAAGTTCGAAAATATATATATTAGGTAAATAGGATAATTAATAATTAGGAAGTATGACCCGGTTTTACACATTTTTAGCACAAGGGCAAGCTGTTATCACAAAAATATTCTCCCCGAATTTCAATACTACAACTCACAGACCGACCGATATGTTCGGTAAAAAATCAGCGATATGCACTGGTGTTCACATATTCGATGTCTCCGTCCTTAAAAATTTATGGTCCGATTTCTACAATTTTTAGGCGTAAGATTATATGCTGCTGATTACGCCCATTTGCAATACCAACTCTCATTGGGTGCTAAGGAATTCATTAAAATATCTCAAGTTATCGCTTGCAGGGACAGACGGACAGACAGACAGTCACACGGATTTCAACTCGGCTCTTCATCCTGTTCATTTATGTATATATAACGCTATATCTAACTCGATTAGTTTGAGCTGATACAAATAACCGTTAGGTGAACAAAACTACAATATTATACTCTGTAGCAACATGTTGCAAGAGTATAAAAATATATACATATGTACGTATTTACTTATAAATATGACTTATAGGGAAACTTATACATATACACATGCCTTGTAAGTAGGGAAGCAACATATTGTTTTATATTTGCATAAATATGTATGAAGTTATATCGCAAATTTATATCAAGATTTCAATGAGAAATGATGTAGCAGTGTATCTTTTAATGTTTTGATATGAATATAGTATATGCAAATATTTCCAATTTTAGCATTATGATAAGTAACTAAGAATGTTTATAAAGATTGGAAACTATATTACACAGCTCAATTGCTGATTCGTATTTGAATATTAAAAGTCGCAATATTTAAAAAAATTTTACTCACCAAGAATATCAATAAACAGCTCTTACTTAGGAGCAAACATGTGGTATTTATTTGGTAGTTTGTTATGTCTTACATTCTTGCAGAGCTCCGTTTTGTCTCGGAAACATGATGTAAGTTAATAGCGATATATCGTTTCTGTCTGACTGTGTGCAAATATATACATATGTATGAGTCATATATTTATCTTTACAGCAACGAACTGATACAGGCTTCCCGGAAATCTGTAGTAATCGAAACGGTGTCACTATACCCATGCCGGGTTCCTGCACAGGTTTCTTTATCTGTGTCGATGGGAATGCTATAGCCAGCTCGTGTGGCAGCTTTTATCATTTCAATGCACAAACCGGATTATGTGATCATCCGTTGAAAGCTAATTGTCAAGTTGATCTGTCACAAATCAAAAATATAACATCCACAACTAATAAAAAGAAACAAGGTACTCGTTCATCTTTAGCCAAACCGAAAACGCCTAACGAAGTTGTTGCGGATCTGAGTATTGGTCCGATCTGCAAAAAAATTCCGACTGGCACGCTTTTACCAAAACCAGATTCTTGCTCACAATACTACGTTTGTATATTGGAGAGGCCCTATCGCCGTACCTGCCCTTTAATGCTTCATTTTAATGCAACAAGAGGATTATGTCAAGACCCAACATTGGCCAAATGCAGTATGCAACTGAAAAACTTAACCAAAAAGGATATCGAACTAATTAATTCAGTAGCAACTAATTCAAAAGAATACGACATAGCTAATTTAGATGAACTAGACAATACCGATAGTAGGAAAATGGACACCATTTGCGCAATGAGCCCAAACGGTACTTTGTTCCCATTCCAGGAAGACTGTAACCGTTTCATTTTCTGCATGAATTACCAAGTTTTGACGTTGATATGTCCGGAGGGACATCATTTCAGTGTAAGAAATGGGCGTTGCGAATGGCCTTCCATTGCGAAATGCCAATCAAACAATTGGTGAAGCTAAATTGATTTATCTGGGCCGGAGCAGTTAAACTACCATTTGCCATTATCATTACAAGTATATTGGCAAAATAGACATGTATTATTGAAATTAACCACATATGGAAAGTTTAAATTAATCCGCTCTTAAGCTAATAGAATAACGTGGCTGGGGAGATTTTTCCAGATTTCAAACTTTTTTCGAAAAGAAGATCATACCACATATTAAGTAGCATTACATATAATACTTTAAACTTGTACATTACGTAATATATTCGAAGAGCTTCCGTAATATTGGAAAAAATTTTATGTGGTACGGTGAATAAAACACCTGACCGCTATGTTTGAAAGTCTCATCATTCTCCTAGCATGGTCTGCATTTTACCGATTTTGTCCTACATACAAGTGAAACCTTTGAGTAAGTGTCCTGTGTAAACTCTTATCATAGTTCTCAGTTGAATCATGATTTTGTTTGATCACAGAGTACTGCAAGCAACCGGATATTCTAAGCGTTCACCATTTTCTCTGTGTACAGTTTGTTGATATTGTGTTTGCATAAAATGACGTATTAGGTTTAGTGTAGTCACAACTAGAAAAAATGTTGTGTACATCAGCTAGAGAATTATAATGGTTGAAGATATTCCGTATTCCTAATTTCTTGTACTTTAGACCAGCAAGTGGCAATTGAAAGATCGTCTTTTATCCTCTACAGATACACAAATACAGTTTTCATAACTTAACAAACTGGTCGATATACTTACGTATATACATTTACTTGTATACATACTTATAATATATGATATTGGTTTAGAAAACCCATTTTCCTTGTTTAGTGATGCAGAAAACTTTCCATTTGTTACCAGGTGATCCCCTCGGGTCCAGAGTTCTCGTAGCGGCTCTTATTTTTCAAGAAATTAAATTAATAGTTAACAAGTAAGTAAGGTCTAAGTTTGAGCGTAACCGAACATTTCATACTCTTGTAACTTGCAATGATTAAAACCGAAGAAATACTCATAGGTGCTGTCAAAACTTTATTCTAAAAAATGTTGTGAAAGAACACTCTTTGTTAGACGAAATCGTGAATGGATTAAAGTTATATTAAATTCATTTTCACATAGATGATGTATGCAATACAAACCAACCAAAGAGGTTAAATTTATTTAAGATACCATCGCCAATATATAAGGCGTAAAGCCAACCGATTGAAAATACTGATATTAGTTATATGGGGACAAGGACAAGTTTTCATCGGATTTTATTCATTTCAGGCACAAAGACAACCATTACTAGAAAACACACTCACTCAATATATTCAGATAAAGTCATCAGGAATTACGAAAAACTTTCTGTTAGGTGTATAGGGAAGTATTCAACCGATTCCAGCCATTTTTGACATACGGACATACTATTATTAGAAAAGGATTCTCTCCGAAATTCATCTATAATTATATATTTTACGCATTGACCGATATTTTTAGTGAAAAGTCATTCATAGGCACTGGGGCTTACATCTATGGTATACAGTTATGGTTCGAAGGTATTGATGGAATTTTGAAATATACAAGTATGAAACAATTTGAGTAATTTGATGGCCTCCATATGGTTTAAAATCTTTCAGTCAATCAATGAGAGAACTTGGTAACTCAAGAGATCAATGCCACCATCGACGCTGATGTTAGAAATATAGAAAGCTTCTTCTAGATTTGCAATATCTGCGCGACCAGTGGTAAATAAATTATAATGAATGCAAATCATAATATAATGTTTGCCGATGTTACCATAAACAAGAAAAAAACCACGGGAACGACTTATATGAAGAAGTGGACAAAGTAAAGAAAAAGTTGAATTCAAAATAAACACTTTCTACTTTCTAGGAAGACTTTTCCCAAATATTTGCATCGCTTTGAGAATATTTTGCACTTTATCCGTACCTGTTTCAAATAGTGAACGTTTGTTAAGTGCTTTTGCAAATATCAAAAATTTTCATCGATCATGCTCGTCACAGGGCAGGATTTCAGGAACACAGTGCCTAGTGACAGAATTGGCCTCCTTAGAAGTTTGCTTTCCAGAATATTATCGATGCAGTCGCTGCCGCCAAAGCTCGAAGAGCTCACTTCTAAGTTCCAAATAAATTAAGGTTGGAGGATTTTAGTCAACAGATTTCAAAAGAACATTTTTTTATTAATTAGATCGATAAGTAATTGTTTGAATGCGATGTTTCTGTTATCTTATTTAATGGCAAGTCTTGTTATCCCTATATTCATAAATTCCTGTGCAATCTGAAATAGTATTTTTGACTGAAAGTCTATGTCTATATAAATCGTACAAACCCAATTTGTTCCACCTAACATCAACGGGGTATTTGACTTATTCTTCAAAAACATTGAAGTAGTAATGGGAAGATAGTTAATAAAATGTATAAAATATTAGAAAGATTCCTATAGGAAGGGGGCACCTACCTTTTTACCCCTGGCCCGGTTTTTATCTCGGAGCCACTGTCTGCCTCGAAAACATGCCAAGCCCATAACCTAACCAAAAGTGTGATCCTTACTACAATAGCGCTGAAGATATACAATCGGTTCCGGTTGCTTTGAACAGTTTAAAAGTTTTAAAAACTCTTAATAACATTTCAATTATAAACACAGAATCTGTATTCAGATCAAATCAGCTCAGATTACCATCTTAAATATTTAACGTTCTCCCAATAGGATAAAATATTACTAAGGTCATAAATTATATTTTGACTGATAATGCAGAATCTGAAAATTTTGGACAAGTTTGAGATATGTAACATAAGACAATAGTATTCATTTAACATCCTTTAGTAGTAAATGTTATCATATTATATTAGCATCCGAAACTCGTTGGCCAATCACAGACTCCCAACTTATGGTTGAACATTAATAGTGATGGGCAAGTACGCTGCACTTCACACTCACATTGGCATACAATATAGTCTTTGCTGCAGGCATCAGTTTCGCTAGTAAAAGAGGTACCGTCCTGTTGGCCAACGCAACGACCTCCAGTTGCACAATTAGTTCCAGATGGTCCCGCCGACGGACCACTTGGTGGAGTTTGTGGCCACGGACAATTTACATTTCCTGGATAATCGCATTCGCCAGTTACGGAATTATACAGTAAATTATTGGAACAAGAAAATATATTTTCTTTGCCACCAACACAAACCACGAATTTTTGACAATTACCCTCCAAAATACTAGTGGAACCATCTTTTAGATTGTAACACAATGGATCACAACCAGGATTCTTTTGTGTGGGAGCAGGTATTGTGAAGGTAACGTCAGTCGATGATGATGAGTTTGAAGTTAGTGTTAACGCTTGAGTTGGGGAAGGTGATGGGTTTGGATTTGACGTTGGTTTCGGAGTAGTTGGATTTGATGGAGTTTGCGATGATGATTGGGTTGGAGTTGATGTATCGAAAGGTTTTGAAGTTGGTGTTAACGCTTGAGTTGGGGAAGATGATGGGTTTGGATTTGAGGTTGGTTTCGGAGTAGTTGGATTTGATGGAGTTTGCGATGATGATTGGGTTGGAGTTGATGTATCGAAAGGTTTTGAAGTTGGTGTTAACGTTTGAGTTGGGGAAGGTGATGGGTTTGGATTTGAGGTTGGTTTCGGAGTAGTTGGATTTGATGGAGTTTGCGATGATGATTGGGTTGGAGTTGATGTATCG